AGTTTGTGACTGCATTCTTGGAGGGGATGAAGAAAGAAGACCTCCCAAAACTCCTCATCAGAGGCGTGAAAGTAGACTTCTCCCCTGAAGAAATCAACGAAGCATATAACACTGCTTCAGTTCCTGCTGAACAAGATGAGTTTGATAGATACTGTGCTGGCCGAGGAGATGAGGCCATAACTGGAGAAGTGCTCCGAGAAATAGGCTCAGAAGGAGCAACCTGGGGAACCAAGGAATCCATCCCTAGGAAGCAACTCAAATTCGAAGCAAAGGTATGGATGCATTTTATTAACTCCCGTCTGATTCCCGTGAGCAATGACTCTAGAGTAAACTGGGAAAGAGCAGTGCTGGTCTTCTGCATCTTAACTAAGAAGAAGTTTGATGTTGGGAGGATTGTCTACAAACAACTGGTGGCAAATGCACCAAGAAACTCCCCCTTTTTTTCCCTTGTCTGGTCACTGAAATGTGCAAGAGGTCTGGTCTAAAGGCCAATATCCCGATTTCGGATGAAATCATTCCAGAAGGGTCGGACATTGATCAGTCCACGATAAAAAGAATCAGAGATAATGAAGGATTGGAAAGTGAGGAGGAAGAAGAAAAAGAAGAGAAAGAAGAAAAAGAAGGAAAGGCGGAAGAAGAAGAAGCTGAAGTTTCGGGCAATGTGAAGGAAGAACCTCAGAAAACTCCAAGAAGGGAAAAACTTCCCTTTAAGAGAGCTCCTGCAAAGAGTGGACGAAGGAAGTTCCTAGTCGAGACAACTGACATGACTCAATGTCAAACTATGTTCGGTCTCGGAGCAGACCTTCTAGCCACTCAAGTGCAAGCCTTAGAAGACACAGTTGGAAGGGAGCTGCAATCTCTGAAAGAAGCTAGCTTGCTCATTAACAAAGAAAAGGTGGCCCTGCAGAATGAACTTGACCAGATAAAAAATGCTGGACTATTGCCTTTGAAAAGGAAGATCGAGGAAGGAGAAGGATCCTCAACCTTGCAAAACACGGAGAAAGACCTGGTGAAAGCAGTGGAGATGATGAACAAGAAAATGGAAGAGAGGGAGCAAGCCTACGAAAAAACAGAAAAGACTGGAAAAAGGAGATCGGGCTCTTGAAAGATGAATTGATGAAAAGCAAAGAGGAGGAAATTCAACTCCGATTGTACTACAGAGCTCGGGATCAAATCTTCGCCAGTAACTGGGGAGAAAAATTCAAGGGACAAACTCCATATCCACCGTTTCCAAATGTCTTCCCTCCAGAAGCAATAACAAATGCTCCGTTTAGCGGAGCAAGACAAGAAACTGGAGAGCATTAAGGGTCACTATGGTGACCCCAGGTTCATTCGTTCCCTATCCTTTTTAACTTGTTTAAATCTGTTGGAATGAATGCATGAAAAGTTCTGTGGTGGAATGTTACTGACTTTGCTCTTAGATAAATGACTTCTGCGGTGTACCAGGGATTCGCCACCCTGTTTTATTTTTTTCATTGTTTTTAACTCTTGCTAAGTTTACCGTCCTAAGTGTCCTGATCTACTCAATGATTCTTTTTGCCCAGGATTTTGCTCCTTGAGATGCCCTAAAGAGTTTACAGTTTCTAACAAAGCAACATAGAGCATCACTCTGATTTGGAGCAACACCATGCACAAAAAGTAGCACTCCAAAAATCGGACACTCTATTATTCAGTGGACTTATTGAGTTACCAAGGAAAGAACTTCAGACTGTTCAAATAAATTACTCTGCCCCTAATTTAAAACAAAAACAAAAAAAAAACAAAAAAAAAACAAAAAAAAAACAAAAAAAAAGAAGAAGGGTCAGCTCCTCTGCTCCAAAAAAAAAATTCGCTCAAAGAGCTCAAGTCATCAAGGTAAGAGTAAGAGCCGCTCAAAGAGCATGCTGTTGAAGGTCAGCCCTACGCAAAGACGAGGGTAATTGACTTCCAGTTAAAAGACCTGAAAAGAAAGAAATAGAGAAGGGAGCTAGAAAGTAAGAGAAAAAATCAAGCCGAAAAGTTCAATCCGGAAGCAACTCTGTGGGAAACTGGCTAAAAGAGTGGAAGAGGTCACACACACAATAAAGCTGGTGAAACTCACAAGTCAGATGAGTGCTCTAATGAAGCAAGAGAAGGAGTTAAGTTAACTCTTCATCGATAATCTCAAGGAGCATTAACCTGTCACAAGAAGACTGTTGGTTGTGAAGGATTACTCGGGACGAGTAATATCTAGTTTTGGGGTGATGATGGTCCTCAAAAGTTGAGGCCCATTAAGTGTAAATTGTTCCACAAAACCCATGTTTGGTTATAAATCACTCCCCTCAACCTTCTTCTTTCCAAATAGAGCAACTGTTTTGAATAGTGGACCAGAGCAATACCGAAAATGGGAATTAAGGTAGATCTGGAGCAAATTTAACATTATCTTTTTCACATATGACTATTGGGTTAGTTTGCTTTGTTCAGGACACCTAAGGCCATCAGAAGGAACCACAAAATGAAGAGAGAGGAAGGAGGGTTGCGCAGAAAGGAAAAACCTGTTGTAGTACAACAGCAGTCAAAGAAGGCAATGGGAAGCCGCCACGTCAGCCACAACAGAGAAGGTGGAGGTGCTACCTCTGCTACAGTACGGAAGCAAGGGAGCTGAGCAATCAAAAGCAGCCACGTCAGCTGCAACAGAAGGAGTGGAGGTGCCTCCCTGAATCCGATACTCCTACTCACAAAGGGAGCCAAAAGCAAGGGGGACCACTTCCATTTAAGGCCAAGCTGGCAAGAAGCAAGGCTACGATTGGAGAGGATTTAGACAAAGCATGACCCTTGATGAAAGGAACAATGGAGATCAAATGAAGAACCCTATAAAAGGAACAAGCAATCCTCATAAAGGGGATCATCAGCGCCCATCCTAGGACTCGTTATCTCTTTGTTTTCTTTTTGTAAAAATGCTCACTAGGAGCTAACTTCCTCTAAGTAGGTGAGGGTTCCATAGAAGTAATCCCTTTTGTCTTAGGATAACTTTGTAAGGAACACATATTTTATAAATGAATTTTGAGTTGCTCTTTGGTTTAATTTATTGATTTTGTGAAACCCTTTGGGCTGGCAACCTCATCCCGGGTCCACTCGGTTGATGAAACACTGACAAAGGCGTGTGGAGCATTCTCAAAATCCTGGGGTAGTTTAGCCTGAAGAAAGGAGGGAGAAACACCTGGAATGGGGAGCACTGCCATGTGAATCCATGCTCTTTTGAGAAGGCAGCATGGTTTCCTTGCATATAACTCCAAGTACTATGGAGTAACGTGGAGAGTAGGGCCCTGCCCTCTGCTTACCTATAGCAAAACAAGGGAAGGAGCAAAATCCACTTGTAAAATATGCTACCAAGCAGGGTTAACCAAAGGGATGAAAACATGGAACCCGTGACACCTACTTGACTTTTTCTGAAATTAATCTTAATTCAAACTTCTACCACAACCTTTCCCTCACGATAACTAAACTGTGTTTTACCAGCTGATGCTCTTACTTTCATTTCATTGACTGCTCTTGACGTTACTTAAATTGATTTTTTTTTATTCGATGACCGTACTAAGTCATTCACTGCGCTCATCTGGTTCAGAATAGTTAGCATTGTTTAACTAGCTGCCCAGAGATTGCTCTTTGTGAAGCTTAGCTGAGAATAGTACTTTCTTTTATTGCTCCATTTTACAAATTAAGTTTCCTTTAGCGTTTCTTACTTCACAACTGCTCCCTGAGGACGATAAATCTGGGGCTGCAATACCCTATATTGCTTGACACATACGCTTGCGTATAGTTGAAGAGGGTTTCTCTTAGTCAGAGTAGATTGTTCCTGTTGGCAATCCTGATTATTACTCTGCACTTTTGCTCTCAGAAAAGATATTCTTGAGCAGCTCTCGGTTCGACCAAGCATCTTCCTCTTTCAGCAAACACAGAAACAGAAAGTGGTAAAACTATTGACGGAAAGTTAAGCAATACTTTCTCTTATTTCCCACAATTAAATGAGGTTCTGATCAAGAATTTACACGGACTTCTTAGGTAAAATGCTTAAAAAAGTTATCCCCAATTTATGTGACCATTACTGACTGTGTATGACTAATGTTATTTCCAAGTTATAATTAATAATGAAAAAAATAATAAAAACAAAAAACAAAAAACAATGAACTAAGCAGAAAAACCAATGCACCTAAACTGAAATGGAATCGAACCTTGAAATAAACTATTTACAAATATAGGAGAAATAACGACGTAAACAGTTAGCTTACCAGCAGATCCTTAATTAAAAATAAGGGTTGCCTTGTAGGCTTGCACGAATCGAAAGGAACCACAGAAGCAGCAACTTATATTCTCAATGGACCCCGTTTTATAGAGAACTGTTTCCAAAGCTCCTGAATCAATACCATTGATAATTTTCAAGAACAATGCTTAAGATGAAAATGATGACATTAGATGATGGATGCACTTTTACCGACCAATATAAACTCACAATGATAAAAAAATTGAATGATTCAGTCTCTCTAGTCTAGATCATACATCTGTTCATAGAAGTTTTCAAATAAGTTTTTTTATCTGATTTGAAGGTTCTGATGGGTATTTCATCCATAAGAATCCTACAATGGATTCAACTTACCAGAGAATCCACTGAGGTTGCTAACTACTCAACTAGAATATACTACAAGTGCAATGACAACGCAGCCACTAAAGGATGAGATGAAATCATACACAAATCAATAAATGATAATCATAACTTTCCTAAAATATAAGACATGCCATAACACCTATTTACTTAGATAATGACTGTGTAACAAAACTATGAAAATAGAATGTCATTTGTCTGGCACTAGATATATGAATACCACACGTCCAAAATAAAAGCTTCAACTGAAAAGTTCCAAAGCAACACATACAATTTAATCATAAAATCATATCAGGGTGTTAAAGAGAAAAGAAAATGAATTTGGGACTCTCAAGATGCAAACTTGTAAATTTGTTCATACATTGCAATGTATAAAACAAAATCAATGTCCCAAAAAGCTTGGGTCCCCTATATACTCTGCAATTTGTTCAAGTTTCACCTGGAGCAGCTCATGGGTATCAGCATCCCTAACAATGCCGATTTTGCGGTCCAAATCCCTCTCAATCAGACTACCATATGCTCCCTTATGTTTACCATACAGAACAAGAACCAGTCCCCCACATGTAGCTGTCTCTAGAAGATCTTGGGATACCCCTTGAATGATCTCCTTGCTCTCATCCATAGAAATATCACAAGTAGTAGGCTCAACAACATCCAGAACCTCTCCCTCCTTCAAATATAACCGGCCCCCCTTGAAATCTCTGCTGATTACCCTAACCCGAATGTGACTTGTAAGCCAAGAAACCTTTCTCTTCCCCCGCTCTTCCTTCCTACGATCCCCATTAACACCCGCTCTCTTCTTCTCTTGATCCTTAACCTCACCGTGCCCTCTCCTTGCGTCATCCCTATCACGCTTATTCTTCAACCCTTTATCCTTATCACCGCGTTGAATCTTCAATTTCTTCAAGCACCTCTCTTTTTCTACGGACCCCGATTCAGCAACATCATCCATCTTCACTTTCACTTGCTCTCCATTCCTTGAAAGCTTCAAAACAAGCCAATCATCCCCAATACTCCTAACAACACTAGCCTTGGATCCAGTATTTCTTCCCCCAACAATTCTAACAATCTTCCCACTCTCCTTTGTTCCTCCTTCCCCTTCCTCCTCCTTATGTTTCTTCTTGTTCTTACTCCGAATGGAAGCACGATCATCACCAACGAAACCCAAACCTTCCCTCCCTGCCCTCCTCTGGTATCGCACCACCTTCACATCCTCCTTGGCATTCTTCTCCGTCGCCATCCCTTCGGACCACCCACATCCGGCAAGCAGCTCCAGAGGGACATTCTTAAATGCATCAAACCCCTCATAATCCGGCAAACTCTTCAAATCATCCTTCAACTTCTGCAGCCGCACCTTCTTCGCAGGAACTCGATGCTTATAATCATCATCATCACCACCACCATCATCGGGTTTTTCCTTCTCGGAGTCATCGTGGTGGAAGAGGTTGAGGCCGTAAGACAAACCAGAACCAGGTTCGGCAGCGGCAGAAGAGGTGTCGAGTTCGAACCCTAGGAATGATAAAAAAAATATGAAATATTCATTTAAAACTTTAATTTACTATCTTACCACTGCTAACAGGGTCAACACGAAGTGGTGGCATAACCTGGGAACTCAGACTTCCTGAGTTTGTGTCAGCGTCAAAATTTCCCTCTACGTCCGTATCTGAGGTGTCACCTAGCGGAATAACACTCTCAGGTTCACCGTCGTCATCATTGTCCATATCCTCCTCATGCTCATCCTCGTCTATTTCCCTCAGTGTTATCTGACTTAAGACAGGTGCAAGTGCAGATAAACTGATGACTCTGTCTTCTTGACTCTGACTTCTTTCATGCATAGGTGCAGATGAAGATTGACCACCGTCTATTTCAACATATATCTCAATAAAATTTTGAAATTTTCGATCAACAATTGCATCTATGACACATTCCACATCTTCATGTCACATATATCATTACCAATGTAGAATATAGCATCCTTACTAACATTAGACTCTACCTTGGCGATCATCCATTGAACGCATTGGCTGCCTTGTAGCCCCAATTTTTGATGAATTCTCCCCTTCAGCTCATTGTACATAGTGCCCCGTTTGATTTTCAACATTTTCGTTTTTCCTTCAAATTGAACACCATTGGGGCCTTCATAATGCTTTCCATCATAGTAGATCATTGTAACATACATGTTTGGACTTGAGCTCATCTTTCACACGAATTTGGGAGTAGAGTTCGAATTTTGGGGATTTGGGTTTGGATTTGGGGGCAACAAATGAGAATATAAGTGGAATGACAATGATTTGACAATATTCAGGCTTTAGAGATGGTGGGATGAAATGTAATCGTGATTGGAAGGATCATCCGCTGACAAACAAGAGATAGATGGGGTACAAAACGAAAATATTGCAAATGAAACCGAGAGAGGGCTGGATATAGGGGTTTCTGCGCAATTTAATCGACTAAATAATGCTTTTAGTCGATTAAATCTCCCCGAAATTTAATCGATCAATTTGAACTTTTAGTCGATCAAATTTCGTGTTTCATGTTTCCTATATTTTGTCAATTTAATCGGCTAAAAGCTCAACTTGATCGATTAAATGGGGGCATGATGGTGGATAGTTCTGGGGGAGGAGCAAATTGGTTATTAATTAATTAATGAGGGGCAAAAGGGTCAAAAAGCCTGATCCTCAGCACTAATAATTTTACAAAAATTCATAAATTTGATGTATATCCAAAAAGTATAATATAAAACAAAATCATTTAAAAAATTTATTTAACCAATAAAATACAGTGAAATAGGTTGAGAAAAAAGAGAGTTATTACGAATAATATAAAAAATATAAAATAAAAAAAAATTATATCAAGTCAGTCTGAAGGATTTTTAGGTTGAACTTTTAAATTAAAGTCTGAGACTTTTTTATTAAACGAGTTTTTGTACAAATTCATATATGATTTTAACAATTGATTTTAGACATGTAAAGTAAGATTTTTAAGAAACCGACCGAAAGACCCCTTGACTACGTGAGACTGAGATGTGTTTCTTTATTCGATCATTCATTAATTTGTATTATATTTTATTGGTTCATTTTTTCTGCAGTTACTGCAGATAAGTTATCTGCAGTAAGTCAATACGACGTCGTTTTGGGGCGAAAATCATGGTGTTTTTATAATTTTAATTTATTTCAGGGTTATAATAGTCTTTATATTTATAATTTTTTAAGATTTCAATACCAAAACGACGTCCTTTTGGAAATAAATACAGATAACTTATTTGCATTAACTGCAGAAATATTTTTCCCATATTTTATTTACTTATTTGAAGGCGCATTTTCAGATGAAACAATTTTGATTTATTTTGATAGCGTTATCTTTAATTTCTTTTATTTTTTATTTAATTCATTGTACTGAGTGACATATGGTACTTTCTGTTCTTGATTTCTTTTATTAATACGTAATTCTCCATTGGATGAATTGTTTCTTTATATTATAATATATATCATTCATTATATTGAATATAAAAATTCTTAAAGTCGTATAAATAATATATATGAGAATGGAAAACGTTAACTTATACATTTTGTAAATAAAAATTATTTTTTGCAAACTTTAGACACATGAGGCGAAATAGTAAGCAATTTTAAAGTGAAAGAGAGGCTTAAAATCAGGAAAAGTAAATCATAGTTCTTCATATTTTTAAAAAGAATTTCGGTAAATCACATTTTTTTTTTATTTTAGTTTTTGGCCTACATTCCTCTATGTTTATTCCCCTTTCTTTCATATCCAAAATTCACTGTGATTTTTTTTTTCAATTTTCTATCTTTAAATAAAAAATTAAATACCTTATAAATTAAGGGGAAAATACTTCTACTATTATGCATAAGCATTTTCTTTTTGCATCTAACTCAACAAATGTTTTTTTTTATTTTAAAAAAAACATGGTGAACCGCACTATATTTCTCTCTTTGCGGGAATCTTGATCTTCTGTTGTTATTGTAGAAGTTGAAACCCCATACATTGCTTACCAAAAAAAGAAGAAAAGAAACCCCATACATTAATGTCAATTTTGTGAATTGATAACATTTTAAAGATGAGATTTATACTTCTCCTGTCACTGTAGAAAAATAATCTCTTGCTATAAACTCATCAAATTATGTGCCTTAATTTTTTTTATTTTAAAAAAATATGAACCCCATGGGTAAATGTCTTTGCTGCAAAATCTCAACCTCCGCTGTCACTCCAGATAGGTATAAAGCCCTTTAAATATTGGTTGACTAAATTGGTACACTTTTCATTTTTGAACGGACAATATTAATGTCAACTTTTTAGAAAATTAAAATGACAATAATTATATGATTTACATTATGCTCGTTTTATATTCATTAGCCAATTAGAATTGCACAAACTCATTCATCCCCACACAATATCATGAGACATTCTTAAAATAGATAGTAGTAAAATTTTATGAGCCCCTCCCTCTGTGCAACATATATAGGCCGTAGAATTTAACTAGAGCTCCCACTTGGAGTGGACAACCACCAAAACGAAACGAACCTCACTTCTTCTCTCTCTGCCTTGCTCTCACTTTTATTTTTCATCATCCTTCTTCTTACATCATTTTCATCCATCTTCATATTTGTCCAAGAAGAAGACATAATCATGTTCTTTTGGATTCAGTTTTTGCATTCAAAGCTCGGCAACTAAACGGTGCTGTTGTGAAACATAAATACATATATATATATATATGCTGTTAATGCCATGGTAAAAGAATATATATTTGACACATGAAAGATTCCTCTATTAGGATTGCTTATAAGAGGAAGTGAAAGTTGTCGTAGCAATATAGAAAGGTAATTAGAAGAAGAAAAAAAAAATGGGAGATCAAGGAAACAAAACGGAGGACACTATAGTGTGCTATGCACCAACCATGATAACAACAAATGGGATATGGCAAGGAGATAACCCTTTGGATTATTCTCTTCCACTTTTTATCTTGCAATTAACTTTAGTTGTGGCTGCCACCCGCATATTCGTCTTCATTCTCAAACCCTTTCGGCAGCCACGCGTAATTGCTGAAGTCTTGGTTAGTTTTATTTCTTTACCATCACAAATTTATTGATCTCAATGCATTGGACATGTGTTCCATTCCCGCTGAATGCAATTCTTGGGGAGGGGGCTGAACCTTTAGCCATCACTGACCCCGCACTCTGGATTAGTCTCATAGCCGGCTCAAAGAGTCGAAGCTTGTGGGGATACCGGAGGGAGCTAACTCGCCTCAAAGAGGTAATTAGGGTTGGGTAACTCCAAAAAAAAAAGAAATCAACTATGTATTCCCGGGAATATATTCGACTAGGAATGTATTTCCGGGAATACACAGTGTAGTTTATAAACAAAAAATTTGTAAATATAGCATACCCTTTATTTTATAGAGAAAGAAATTAATCATCACATAGTCATTGCTAATAGATTTTAATTTTTGTAACGTGGGGTGTTCGTGTTTACAGGGTGGAGTAATATTGGGTCCTTCGGTGCTTGGGAAAAGCGAAGCATTTGCTAATGCAGTGTTTCCTCTAAGGAGTGTGATGGTGATTGAAACAATGGCAAATGTTGGTCTCCTTTATTTTCTCTTCTTGGTGGGATTGGAGATGGACATAACAATTTTACGCAGTGTAGGTAGAAAAGCAGTGGCGGCTGCAATTGCTGGCATGGTCTTGCCTTTCAGCGTTGGAGCTGTTTTTTCCTTGCTTCTGAACAGAGAATATGATAGTAACATGACCCAAGGCACTTACATTTTATTCCTTGGTGTTGCTCTCTCTGTCACTGCATTTCCTGTTCTTGCTAGGATCCTTGCAGAGCTCAAACTCATCAACACAGAGTTGGGAAGGCTAGCTCTTTCATCTGCACTCATTAATGATGTGTGTGCTTGGATTCTCTTAGCTTTAGCCATTGCCTTGGCTGATAATGAAACAACATCCTTGGCTTCCCTTTGGGTTGTATTGTCTAGTGCTGTATTTGTGGCCTTTTGTGTTTATGCTGTTAGACCAGCAGCATTATGGATAGTTAAGAATACCCCTGAAGGAGAATCCTTCAGCGAGTTATATATATGTCTCATACTAGCTGGGGTCATGATCTCTGGTTTCATCACAGATGCTATTGGAACTCATTCTGTTTTTGGAGCTTTTGCTTTTGGTTTGGCTATCCCAAATGGACCACTCGGTATTACTCTTGTAGACAAGCTTGACGACTTTGTTTCAGGACTTCTGCTCCCTCTCTTTTTCGCCATTAGTGGGCTTAAAACTAATATAGGACTCATCAAAGGTTCCTTCACCTGGGCAATTCTTATTCTTGTCATTTTTCTTGCCTGCATTGGCAAAATTGTTGGAACTCTCATGGTTGCGATCTTTTACCAAATGCCAGTGCGTGAAGGAGCTACCCTTGGCTTACTCATGAACACAAAAGGCCTTGTTGAAATGGTCGTGCTTAATGTTGGAAAGGACCAGAACGTACTAACACTACAGTACTATTGCCATTTACTTTTATTGTACTTTTTCTTTTAGTTTTACTTTTCCATTTATGATGTACTTTAATTGTTGGAAATTTTAAGTGTTAGGGAGTCTCAAGTTAGTTAAAAAATGGATTAAACACATGAATGGAAGGAAACATAGATGCGTTGTCATAAGGTTTTGAGTTAAGGCATAGTGTCTAATCCACTTGGTATGTTTTTTTCGCTTAGCCCAATGACAGTGGTCTCCCCTAGCCATCTAACTCTGATATCCCGTTTGAGGGGAGCATACTAATGTTGGTATTTTTAATTCCTCTCTAAGATTCATTTACTCATGTTGTTCACTTACAACTGCTTGCAGGTTTTTGATGAAGAATCATTTGCAATCATGGTGGTTATAACCGTGATAATGACTGGAATTATTGTACCTGCTGTATCAGTCATATACAAGCCATCAAGGGGATGCAGATATTACAAAAGAAGAACCATTCAAATATCAAAACCAGATGCAGAGTTCAGAGTCTTAGTGTGTGTACATAGCCCTCGAAATGTCCCAACAATAATCAACCTCCTTGAAGCCTCTAATCCAACAAAGAAGTCCCCAATATGCGTCTATGTGGTCCATTTGGTGGAGCTTAGTGGCCGTACATCAGCCATGCTCATTGTTCACAACACTACAAAACAAGAACGCCCTGCCCTTAATAGGACAGAAGCTCAAAGTGACCACATAATCAGTGCCTTTCAAAACTATGAGAAACACGCTTCTTGTGTCACTGTGCAACCCTTGACAGCAATCTCCCCTTATTCCACAATGCATGAAGATATATGCAACTTGGCTGAGGACAAACGTGTTTCTCTTTTAATTGTTCCTTTTCATAAACAACAAACTGTTGATGGTGGCATGGAAGCTACAAACATGGCATTTCGAGCTATCAACCAGAATGTACTAGCAAATGCACCTTGCTCAGTAGGAATTCTAGTTGATAGAGGCTTAAGTGGCTCTAACCGTTTGGCTGCAAACCAAGTATCTCATCATGTAGCTATACTTTTTTTTGGAGGACCAGATGATAGAGAGGCATTGTGTTATGGATGGAGAATGTTGGAGCATCCAGGGATAAGCCTTACCATAATGCGTTTTGTTCCAGGGGAACAAGTATCTGAGCCAGTGATTCAAGTTAGTATAAATGATCCAGGGGTGCTGAAAGTGGAAACAGATAAGGATATAGAGAAACAGCTTGATGAAAAGCTTATACATGAGTTTAAGATGAGAAACGGGAATGATGATTCAGTTGATTTCATTGAGAAGGTGGTTAACAATGGGGAGGAGACAGTGGCAGCAATAAGGACAATGGATGACATTCATGACCTATTCATTGTTGGGAGAGGTCAAGGAATGATATCACCACTCACAGCAGGACTCACTGATTGGAGTGAGTGTCCTGAGATAGGAGCAATTGGGGATTTGTTAGCATCTTCTGATTTTGCAGCAACTGCTTCAGTGTTGGTAGTGCAACAATATGTTGGGGCAGGGTCACTAGGAGATGGATTGGAATCACCAGATGGTGAAGAATATGTCAGTGAGATTAGTCAGATTAGCAATCATTCTGCACCACCAAAGGGACATGCAGTGTTCAATGCAGAAATGTTGTGAGTCCCCAGAAGACAATTTCAAATCTGCTTGGTGTGCTCCCTTCACATTTTGTCTGTAACAAAATACAGAAGAATTCTTTTCTATTTCTTTTTTTCTTCTTTGCTTCATTGATTTTTGTATTATATCTTTTGGTGTACTTATTCTTTTGTTTGTACCAACAAGTCTTTAACTCTTACAAGAAATTAATGTACATACACTCACATACATTTGTATAAGCACAGTTTGTTTTGTGGATATTTGATAACTTTTTGTCCTTCAACAGTCACAGCACATGTGAAGTTAACAAGATTATATTTTTGATATGGTATTCTATTAAGAATCCCAAATAAGAATATGCGTACTTCATATTACATTTTAATTCAAAATTTAAGTTTATGATATATCTCATTTATATAGTGTTTACTTAATATATTCCTAAATGACTAATCAAGTAATCATAAATCATCCAATCACTATTTCACATCATCCAACCCTACATTGGCCACATCAACGTTTTAGTTTGAGCCTAATACAATTGAAGGGTGGAACTATTTACATTCCAATATTTCTATTTACGTTCTCTATTTTTTAGTTTTTAAATTTTTTTATAAAATTCATTCATATTTAAACTTTCAAAAACTAGTTTTTTATTATTTTACTATTTATTCTTGCTCCTAAAATAACTTTCCTCCTAAAGCCCTTCCTCATTTGATTCCTGTTAGACACTGTAGCATCGCATGCAAGAGGCAGATCATATAGCAGGTGTTTCCTATGTTGGGAAATTGAATCCTTCGCACAAAACAATAACAAGATAAAAGAAATTGAAAGTAATAAATGAAATACAAAGATTAATGTGAAAAAACCGTCAAAACAAACTAAGGAAAAAAAAACTACGAGACAAAGAGTAGAAAAAACTTTTAATGGAAAACCCCTAAATTACAATCAGTTTTTTAATTATAATGAGAAAACAATTTTATCCCTATCTTGAATTAAGAGAACTCCTCACAAAATCTGACTCAAAAAACTATATAGAAGGAAGAAGATTCTGGTGCACTTAGAAATGTGGAGGGGGCTTTTATTTATAGTTAGCCCCTCACCCTTTGCTTTCCTAAAGTCCCACTGATGTGGGCTTTGAGTTCTAACAATCTCTCACTTGGATATATGATTGAGAATCAATCAATCTCCACACAATTCTTTCTATCTTGCCATCTCAATGTTGTTTGTCTCTACCAAGCCAAATGAAGATGTGTATCATGTGAACTTATCAGTGTTGATTGACTTTGTTAGTGCATCCACAATGTTCTCTTTTGTATGAATCTTTTGCATATTCATGCTTCCATCTTTCACTTCACGAACAAAATGATATTGAATAAGATTGGATTCGTTATGCAAGGCACTTTGACTATCACTATACAATAGATATTCTCCTGTTTATGCCCGAGCTCCTCCATGAACCTCTTTATCCAAATTGCTTCTTTACAAGCTTGTGTCATTGCCATATATAGCCTCTGTCATAAAAAGTGCCACAATTGACTGTAATAGTTTAGATACTACAATTGCAAACACATAGCCCATGATAATTTCTCTAAATCACCAACAAAATCAGAATCAACATACCATCTGACAGTATATTCAGATCCTCCATAACATAGAGCAACATCTGAGATTCCTTTGATATATCTCAGGGATCCTCTTGACAACATTACAATGCTATCTACCATAACTCACCATGTATCAACTAACCACTCACACTACATTCACAATGTATGATCTTATACATATCATAGCAAACATTAAACTCCTCACTACTTATGCATACGGTACTAGAGACATCTCCTTCTTCCCCGCTTCACTGCTAGGACTCATACTTGAGGATAACTTGAATATAACAAGAAAATGGTATAAATTGACTTACAATCTTGCATGTTAAAGCTGTTGGGTTTAAGTATGCTCTTTTCACTTAAGCTCAATAGCTTTAGTGAGAGTGAGCCCAAAGACTAATTCTAACCCATGAAGCTTAGGGTTAGTTCTGGATTGGGCAGGTATATAAGCACACTTTTCTCCCTTTGCCTCCTAGGGTTACAGACATCAGAAACACAAAGAGGCAGACGTTCATCATCTGAACGATTGCCCACACGACTCCCTGATCCCCTTGAGTCATAGCCTGGAAGATCAACCGCAGAGTGGATTTTCCTACCGTTCCTGGTGGTTGCTGCAGATCGTGAGTCGTAGAAGGAGAACTGAACGTGAGGAATCGTCACGCTCGCTTCTTCACCCCAGGTAATCAAAGCAGTGTTCTTCATTCCTCATCGCATCGGTACGATGCGCTTCCGCGTTTCTGATGATATACCTTCAATTGGTATCAGAGCCGGATTGTGATGTGGATTAAGATCAGTTTTGATTTATTCATTTTTTTATGTGATTTATGAAAATATGGCACCTTTATTCTGTATCTGTTATTTAAATTCATGTTGATTGTTTATAGTTCTTTTTCATAAAAGTTTAAATTTTAATCGGTAAAAATACTTTAATCCATGGTTAGGGTCTCTCGTGTATTTCTCGATTTGTAACAATGAGGCTAATCCCATATGATTAGGTTTCCTCCTTGCTGTTTTTATTTATTTTCGAAATTTCTGTGTATTTTTCCAATATTTTGTAAAAGTTCAAGATTGAGAAACCGCGAGTAAGATGCGCAGTCAGTACTGTCGGAGACTTTTTGAGGACTTCCCGATCTCAGAATGGGGTGATCTATATATGGTTGGAAAGAGGACGGAAAGACGAAAGCAACGGTGGGTAGATCTCAGCCATCGAAGCCTACACGCTCCTCCACGCGCCTCCACAAGCGGATGAGAATGGCCACCACTCTCCGGCAAAGAATGGGAGAGTGAGGGAGCGTCCGGCCACATTTTTGGGTGGTTCCGGCAGCTGTGCACTCGTCTCTATGTGGCGGTCCTTCCCCTTGAGTTTCGGCCTGATTTGACTTTGTGTGACGGCGCGGCAGACCTGACGGCTAGGGTTCATCTTTCGCGCCCTAGGATTTCTCGCCAAAGGATTGGGTCTTTGGGCTTTTGGGCCCATGGAAACCCTAAAAGGGCTTGAGACAGATACTATGGGCTAGGCGAAAGTCGAATTCCAAAGTTGTATATTTTATTTTATTTTCTTATTTTATTTTCTTTAAAATATGAAGACCATGGATTAAAGTAATTAGGATTTATTTTTTAATGTTTTTATTGAATGATATGAATTATATGTGCGATTAACATGATATTTGCGACAACATGTCATATAGGATATGAATGTGCCATATTGTTGCATGATCACATGTCATACGTGCATATCTACTATTATGTCATTACCGACTAGTATGATAGATTATGCGCGTTGTTTTTGATTTTAAATATTCAGGTAAAATAAAATTATGATTATTATGATTTTGGAAACAAAATCTAGATTAATGGTTATATTAATTTCGAAAATTAATTTAATTATTATGATTTTGGTAAAATCTAGAATAATCATATTGATTATTTTTGGAGTTTAAAATCAAGACAATTAGTAAGAAAATTTCCTAAGAGAATTCTTTTAATTTTGCGAGTAATTTGTGGGTCTACTAAAATGGTCATGTGTTAAACACACGCTGCACACCACAATCATGTATCATGATTGTGTGAAGCACACGCTGCCTATCATGACCAGATTTTAGGACCTTAATGATTTCAAAATTCAGATAAGCTAAGTGATGCACATTCATCGGCGCTCTTGCTTACATAGTTTTTGAAATCAAACAAAGGATACTCTCAATTAAATAATTCTTGGAAATTGGAAAATATTGCTTATGTTGAATGGAAGGAGATTTAAATTAAGAAATTAATTTAACCTTCAAGCGCAATATAGGACCATTGATAAAATAATCATGTGAAGTCCCATCGAATAAGCATGATTGGATTTTATTAGACTGGACCTAAATAATTATGGGAGGAGATTTAAATTAAGAAATTAATTTAACCTCCAGGCGCATTGTGAGCCTATCAATAAAATAATCATGTGAGGCCCCAACGGATAAGCATGATTGGATTTTATTGGGCCTTAATAATTTCAAAATTTTAATAAAGTATTGTACGGCCCATCGTCGATAATATTAAGTTATTAAAGATAATTTTGAAATTAAACAATGAATTCGACAGGGCTTATGAAAATTCTCAAACAAAATTATTTTCGAATGAAAAATTTCTTGGAAATTGGAAAATTCTAAAATTTTAAAATATTGAATGGGTGAAGGTTTTTTTTTTAAATTAAGTTTTCAAAAACCTAAGGGCTCCATTTGTGGGTTTATTAGTGAAATGGTTATCGCTGAAGCCCCATCGGATAAGGATAATCAGATTTCACTAGATTAAATCTTAATAATTTCAAAATTTTAGTAAAGTATTGTACGACCCATCGTCGGCAATACTTAGACACTAAGGATAATTTTGAAATTAAACAATGGTTAATTACATTCAACTTTGGTAAAATTGTTAATCCTCCCATCGAGGCTCTGGCAATGGCACTGAAGGCCCAAATAACAATTTTGGTTTTTACAAGTGACTTGTCCATCGTAAGCCTTCTAAAGATAAACTGAAGGATTGTTAACAATAAACAAAAGTAGTTATGAGAATCTACTTGCACTTCGTTTGTTTACTGCATTATTTGTTTGTAATTGTGTGCTTTATATGTTTTTCAGAAAATATCTTAGAAATGATTTTGAGTCGAAAACCTCTAGATGGTACCAACTATGAATAAGTGAAAAGCAAATCTTTGATATTGTTCTAAAACATGGAAGCTAAAATTTGTCCTGACAATGCGAGGGCTATAGCAACTTGCAGAGAATGCGTCTTAGAAAACTAAGATGCATTTCTCAGATTAGGAAAGGGCAGATATGGTAGTTCGCTGTTATATTATTGTCAGTCTTTCCAAATACTTGCAGAAGCAAGTGTACATGATTAAGAGTGGAGTAGAAATGCTTCAGACTCTTAATGACATGT